AAAAAAAAAAAAAAAAAAAAAAAAAAAAAAAAAAAAAAAAAAAAAAACAATAATAATAATAATAGTAATATTAAATAAAATAAAATAAAAATAGATAGATAAATAAATAAACAAAATAAATTAATAATAATATGTAAAATATATAAATAAATAATATTAATAATAATAATAATTCTGTGAAATAACTTCACATCTATATTTCATCTAAATTCTCTCCATTAAATTTGTTTTTTTCAAGAAAATAATAATTTGATCTTTGACTTTACCAGCATCACTACTAAAGATATCATTAATTGTAAATTTTATATTCATTTTAGTTATTTCTTTTTGGAAATGTCTTCTTTCTAATTCATATCCACAACATTCCATAAAAACATGTTTTACTGTTTCAGGGAGATTACAGTTATCACATAACCCCGTGGCATGTTTTCCTATTACTTTAAGAGAGCTATTGAGACCCGTATGTCCTATTCTGATTCGGGTCATTATTGTTTCTACTTTTCTGTTTCTTCCCGTTTTCTTTGTGCCTCCTACCTTTTTCTGAATGTTATACAAATGTCGTCCTGTATCAATTATGTCCCAATTATCCTGCCATATATTCGTAACATATCTATTTATTATCATTTTACACTCAGATTTACTTAATGGAATTTCATAGTTTACATTTTTAGATTTTACTGCCTGTTTAGCAAGAATGTCTGCACCTTCATTGCCTTCCACTCCCACATGTGCTGGAACCCAAACAAAATCTACAGATATTTCCCTCAAGTGAAGTTTATATAGAATGTGGTAAACCCTGTCAATTAGGTCTTGTCTTTCTGATTTACTTGATTTGATGCTTAATAAGACTGCCATATTATCCGATGCAATGACATATTTTTGACCATTATATTTTTCAATCCATTCTAAACCCATGATTATAGCTAATAATTCTACTGTGTATACTGTCAAGTTGTTTGTTGTTCTTTTCTTCATCTCTATATTTAGATTTGGGATGTACACTGCTGCTCCTGTTTGTCCTGATTCTGGATCTTTTGATCCATCTGTAAATACTATAATTTTATCCATATGTTGTTTATGAAAGAATTGTTGCACTAAGAAGTTTTCTGAAATATTTTTTCCCTTTATTTTTGATTAATTTATGTAATGATAAATCGACAGAAGGATAAATATATAACCAATGATGGATACACGATTGATTAACTGTTGGACTTAATTCTATTTCATGCAACCCTGCATAGTGAGCTTTGATATTACCTATCCAGCCAAAACTATAAATATTTGTTTTTTGATGTTCCCAACATTCCTGTAATATATTATGAACTGGGTGTGTTTGGTCATGTCCTTTAATATTGATCCAGTATAGTAACATTTGTTTCAATCTTCTTATTCGTAAAGGCATTTCCCCCATTTCAACTTGTAGAGCTGAAACTGGTGATGTTCTAAATGCTCCACTGCATATTCTGAGTACTTTTGATTGTTCTATATCCAGAAGTTTTAAATGAGTTTCTGCTGCTGCCATATAGCTAATGCTGCCATAGTCCATTGTTGATCTCATAAGTGATTGATATATATTTACTAATGCTTCCCTACTTGCTCCCCATTCCCTTCCTGTTAAACAACGCAATAAATTATTAACATTTTTACATTTTATTTTTATTTTTTCTATATGTTGCTTCCATGTAAGTTTTTCATCAAAAATCATGCCTAAAAATCTTATATCCTTAACCTGTTCAAGGTTTTGACCATATAACTTTAAGGAGATAGACTTATGTTTTCTAGAGAAGCAGATAACTTGAGATTTTGTTGTTGAAAGTTTAAAACCCCAGTTATTGGACCATATTTCAACTTCATTGATTGCCTTTTGCATTTTATTTCTGAGATATTCTACATTACGACCACGAATCCATAAAGCTCCATCGTCCGCATATAAAGATTTACTGATTCCATGATCTATTTTATCAAATATGTCATTGATCATTATCAAGAATAATACTGGGCTACAAACACTACCTTGAGGAGTACCATTCTCCACAATATATTTACTTGAAAATTCCTTTCCCACTCGCACTTCTATTGTTCTTTCAAACAAAAAATTACTTATCCAATTAAATAGTTTTCCTTTTACCCCAAGTTTTTCCAGTTTTACTAATAAACCTTCTTTCCAAAGTGTATCATAAGCTTTTTCTATATCGAAAAAGACTGCAATAACTGATTCTTTGTTAGCTTGTGCTTTCCTTATCTCTGACTCGAGGCATAAAATAGAGTCCATTGCGTTTCTCCCTTTCCTGAATCCACTTTGATTTGGTGATAACAGATTATTAAATTCTAAATAACTATATAGCCTTTTAGTTATTATTTTTTCCATTGTTTTCCCCAATTGTGAATTCAAAGCAATGGGTCTATAGTTGGAAGGATTTGAAGGATCTTTACCTGGTTTTAATATTGGTATTATTATTGAATTTTTCCATGAAGTTGGTATTTTACCACTATCCCAAATTAAATTAAACAAAATTAATATTGCTTTAATAGAATTTTCACCCATATGTTTTAACATATCGTAACAAATATTGTCTTTTCCAGGAGATGATTGATTAGTATTACTAAGCGCTCTTTTAAATTCAAATAAAGTAATAGGTAGATCCATCGTCCCTCCATTGACAGTTTTTTTGTTATCTATATTTGGATGGTTTTTTAATATATTGCTCCTCAACTCCCTAACATTTGCTGAAATATTGTCAGAACTATGTATTTTAACCAGTGTTTTAACTAATAATTCTGCTTTATCTAGATCAGTTATTGCAACAGTGTTTTCATTTTTAATTATTGGGATTTCATATTTCCTAGTTATTCCATTCATCTTCTTTATCATCCCCCACACATCTGATAATTTAGTTTCTCTCCCTATGGTAGAGCAATATTTTTGCCAGTATTCTCTTTTTGCTTTTCTTATTGTTCTCCTAACAATTGCTTGTTTCCTTTTATAAAATATTAACTTTTCAATTGTATGCTGAACTTTTAGTTGTTTAAATGCTTTATTCCTTTCTTTAATAGCTTTTTTACAGTCCTCATCCCACCATGGAACATTCTTTTTAATTCTACTTCCTGTACTTTTAGGTATTGCTTTATTTGCATTCTGTATAAGTATTGTTGTTAATTTTTCATTAAATTCTTCAATATCTTTAATATCTTCTCTAATAATTTCTCCACATTTAATTTCAGTCAGATTTTGAAACTTGATCCAGTTTGCTTTATTAAATTGCCACCTAGGTACTCGAAATGTTTTTCCTTTAAGAACATCCAGTCCTATTTTAATGGTTATTGGATAATGATCACTACCAAGTGATGTTTTATTTATTACTTCCCACTGCGTAATTCCTGCAATGTTATTTGAGGTGACTGTTAAATCTATTGCTGTTTCTGTGTTCTTTGTAATATTATATCTGGTCCCTGTTCCATTATTTATGCACACCAGTCTGTTATCATCAATGAATTCCTCTACGTTTCTGCCATTTATGTCTGTGTGATCACTTCCCCAAAGATTATTGTGAGCATTAAAATCTCCACACCAAACAATTTTCCCCTGTTCCTGTCCTCTAACTATATTCAGTGTTTCAATAGTTAATTCTTTACATGGATTATAATAATTAATAATGATCATTTCATCCCTACCTGTCCATATTTTAATAGTAATGTATTCATGCTCTTTTCCTATATGGATTATACTGTAACCTATATTATTTTGTACAAGGATCATTATTCCTCCACCCCTTCCATTACCTCTATCTCTTCTGATGGCAGTGTACCCATGTAAAACAAAATCTAATTCTGGTTTTAACCAGGTTTCCTGAATACAGATGATATGTGGTTTTTCTTGTAGTTGTGATATGTAATGTTTAAAATCTTGACCATTTGAGATGAGACTTCTAGCGTTCCATTGAAATATGTTTATGACCATGTGGAAGTAGCACCTTCTGACTGAGTTGGTGTTACTCCTTTACCTATCATATTTTCTACAGCTTCCCAACCAAGGTCTTTAACATCTAGATATTTTTCTGCAGCCCTCACTATGATTTTAATCTTTTCAGTTTTCTTTACTGTCTGAGCTGAACAATTAATCACTTCCACCATAAACAGCACAAAATCCTTTTTGTTCACTATCATTGAATCATTAGGTATTTTAGAGCATCCATCACAAGTTTTTGGTTTTATATTTGGTGTCACTGTTGGTTTTGGCTTCTCTGGTTGATTTGGGATTCTTTTCACGGCTTCAGCATAAGTTATCCCTTGAGCGAGTTTCACTTTTTGGATTTCCTCTGCTCTTTTACTGTATTGACATCCACGGTAAGCAGCAGTGTGTTCTTCTCCACAGTTACAACATTTAATTTTTGCCTCTTTTTCACATTTCCCATATTCATGTTCACCTGCACATCTTCCACATCGTTGTTTTCCTTTACAGATTGCTGCTACATGTCCAAATTTCTGGCATTTAAAACACCTTAACGGAGGAGGAATGTATTGTTTCACATCATAGCTCATATAGCCTATGTAGACTTTACTTGGTAAACATTCACTTTCAAATTTAATCAAGACTGACAAGCTGTTACATCGTTCTCCATTTCTTGTTGTTTGCAGACGTTTAATTTCTTTCACTTTTGCTCCACGTATGTTTGCTTGAATTTCTTCATTTGAGATTTTTAAAGGGACTCCACTAATGACTCCTCTACCCATTTTTTTGTTTTCAACCAGACTGCTCTGAACTTTCTTTCCTTCCATTTTGTGAATCTTAATTGCCTTTCCTTGTTGAATGCTGTCTCTGCAATGAACAAAAAGTGCTCCGCTTCGTAAAACCTTAGCGCTAAGGACTTCACCTATTAGTTTATTTATTGTTTTGGTTAATTGTATTGGGTTCCATTCACCAAAAGATTCTCCCTCTTGATTTAATTTAATAATAACTTTATACTCATCTTTTGGTTTCTTAGTTACTAGTTCATTTTCCTCATCCTTTTCTGGGTTAGAAATATCTTCAGCTGATGTCTGCTTTTTACGCTTTTTTCTGCTTTTTGAAGCAGCTAACTTACTCCAATCTTCTTCATTTCCGCCACTATTTTCTTCCATTTCATCAAACTCACTTCCTGATCCAGAACTTCCCTCTGCAACCTCCTGCCCATTCACAGCCCAGCCGCTGCCAACCGCCTTACCAAATTGCTGACTCATCTTTTCTCTCTCCGTCATCCATCCGCTCGCCAGCGTCCAGTCTTACCACCAAGGCTGCTGCTTTTTGCGACCTAAAACTCAACTCACCTCCTCCGGACTGGCTACTTCCGGTTAGCTTTTGTAGTCCAAGATGTCAGTTCAGTATAAAAATTAACTTTCCTGCACAGACAGGTTTATTTTAGGGTTTAGGATAGTGTTTCCTAACCGCTGCGACTATTAAATGCTTCGGTGTTTGTAAAGACTGCACGCGACTTATCGCGTTAGATCCAATCTTTTAAAACTACAAATCCCTACAAGCCTTAAAAGACGCTTTCACGTGCAGTCGGGATATCGCGTAATTTGACGAAACTAGCTTAATTACGACCCAGAAAATTGACGATTTGCATCAAAGAATGCTATATGTTATTTAAAATAAAACTTTAAGAGCTTAAGTTTTGAGTTTGATAACAAATAAAGATAGACGTTATTAAATATATGATATTTCTGACCTACGTAAGTCTGCGAAGGCAGCAGAAGTTCGAGTCGGCGGGTCACGTGATCGCGGACAGGAAATCATTGACTGGTTTTTCTCATTGACATAAATACGGGTTGTCTGTCTCGTTCTTGAAGACACCGGAGGAAGCGGACGGAGACAATGTGCACCAGGTGGGTTGTTTTAAATGAAACTATAATTTTGATCACGATTAAGCGCTCACGTGACGTTCAGTTTTCTGTTTGGGGCGTTTTTTAAGTACAAAAACTATATTCAAGGAGCTTCCAGAGGCTTTTTGTCATTTGAAGACTCATTGTTTTCTCACCTCAGTGACATTTAATTTCTTTTTAGTTGCGTAGGGGGTGTGCTTGGGTTTGTTCTGCATAATGGAGCACTTTTTTTAAAATATAATTCAAAGCTGTTAAAATTTGATTTCTACACACCTGGGTTCAGTTTTCATTAAAGTCTCCACATCTGCTTTCAATTACTTTCACTTCCTCTCAGCCATCTGAAGCTCGTGTGATTCTGCTTTGTCGTCAAACTGAAAGTGCAAAGTCTGCACATAAAATCCCTCTCATTTGCAGAGATTTCTGTTTTCCAGCTACCTCCAACATGCTGTGAGCAGAAACAAGTTAAGCTTTAGACCCTCGTGAGAATCTTATCTGTGTGTTGGTGTCAAAGGTCCTGCAGTGTTCAACTCTTTGACTCCATCTTATCATTAAAACAGGTTTTAACAGACTTGAGAGTTGTGTCAGCCACAATGAGATATCTTTTATTTAATTGTGTTTTTTAGTGTTGCTGACTCTGCAGTCTGTTTCTCTGTCCAGGGTTCAGCCAACTGAGTGGACCACCGACCTCAAAAACCAGAAGTGAGTATCAGGAAGTCTCCTGGCCTTCCTGTTTAGCTGTTTAGTTTATTAGCAAGATATTTTTCTGGTTTATATATAAATGTGTAACCCAAGCGTTTTTTGTTTCTTTGTAGTTTTGATGGCATCGTCTTGATAACTGAGAGCCACAACACCCTGCCGGCTCAGCTCAAATGTCTGGAAGCTCCTCTGCAGGATTTCAGCTCTGTACGTGTACCACAGCCAGGTTTCATACTGCTGTTTCTTTGCTTTGGACTAAATGACCCATCTTCTCCAAGTGCTACCAAATCATGTGACCATAACGTTAGTTACCAGGTTTGACCACAAACAGAAATGACTCTTAATTTCTCTCCATAAAATGATCTTAGTCTGAAAGGCAGCAGGTGATACGCATGATTACTTCAAGTGAAGCTAGGCTAGTTTATGAATGCAGTATGTGGAAGGAAATGTTGTGTTTGTGCAGTTTATTAATTTAAACAATGTGCATTAGCTACAGCTGTTCAGTTGGGTTGACAGTCTGTCTAAAAATGTTGTGGTGCTTTTTAAATAGTTTGCAAAACTCAAGTATGTAAAAGAGCATCATCCAGCGGTCCGTCTGTCTCTGACATGGATGAGAAGCGAGGCACAAAAAGAACATGCAGCCCAACGTTGTATCTCTTTTGGTCCAAATCTCTTGCTAGTTTAATACGTTTGGTCTTCTAGTGGGATGTGACATGCATGGTGTTTATAGATTTCACGTAGTGAATCATTTCCTGATCTGGAGCTTGTGTTGAATGATCTGCAGATGTTTTTTTTTTTTAACTGCCCTGGAAGTACACGGATCAATTCTCAACAGGAGAACGTGCTCCTTACTGATGCTGCTGTGCTTTATGGTGATCTGTTTTCCCACACCCAGGTGGACAGTGGTCTGGGGGAGGAGGTTGTGGTCCTTAAGGTTCCTGGTCTTCCTGGAAGCCGACTGGTTTTTGCCTCCACCGGACCTGTGAACCGGGACTACGATGACGTCAGACGTTTTAGTGACGCAGCCGGCAACGCCATCAAACGGTCACCTAACGGCACCTCGTTTATTTATTTATGTCCTCCCCCTCTGTGTTATATTTTGCTGGTTTACATTATTATTTTTTCTTCTTTGCAGTGCCTTGAAGGCCGGCATGCAGCGTCCCCTGCTGGTGTGCCCCCCAAACAAGGACTATAAGAACAGCACCTTGGTGGCTGCGCTTGGGGCTCTTCACGCTCTTTACACGGTGAGAAAAGACGTGTCCATGAAGGAAAGTTGGACACCAAAGTTATATTATAATTAAATAAGGTTTGTTTTTTTGTAGTTGTGCTCATTTTATAGAAAAAAAGTCAGAATATCTGCGTTTTATTTGCTTTTATTTTCACTGCTTGTTATAAATTTTGACACTTTGGAGTCGCCCGAATGAATAAAATGATAAAACCTGATGTGTGAAGTAACACTGAGTTCAGGCATACACACTAAAGAGCATCTTCATTCATCTGCTGATGTTCAGTTCACTGCTGAACTTTCTGATTTTTGTAAAATTTCTGACAAAACAAACGCTGCCGTTCAAACATTTGCAGACTTGAACACGATGTTAAACTTGTTTCACCTGTTTGATTGGCCAAAAACAGAGAACTGTTAGTTTAAATAATAATAAAAAATGGTCATTTAAACACTTTAAACGTCTTCCCAGTCGGTCTTAAGTTGGGGACAATTGTGAACAACAAAAAGGAAAGTTATCTATTTAAACAAACAAAACTAAAAGTTTGAAACCGAAGATTTGGATTTAATTTGAAAACCTAGATGTAGCCCCTCATTAACAACTGAAGAGATGAAGTTACTGTGGAGTAAAAGGAAGGCGTAATGGACAGTTTAAGATTAGATTAAAATAATCAGATTAATCGAGGATTGTAGTGAGCAGGAAATGTCAGAACTTTATTTGGTCTGGTTTAATAAAACAAAACTGAAATTTCCACAGTTTCTGATTTTGGGTTGTAAATCTAATATTTTGGACATTTTTTGTGATTCCATCAGCTGACAGGTTTGACACTGTTTCAGGATGGTGCTGCATCCTCCCACAGAGCAAAGGGGAAACCTAACTCATTTATAATACATACATACAAGACAATTTTACTGTCTGCATATTTCAGCTGTACTGGCAGCAAAGCTTCACATGTGGATGATGTTTTCAACTGTCCAGTTGGATATTAATGCCACATATTTATGTTTCCACCAAACACACGGCTTGCATAAATGAACATTCTCACTGTAACTTTCCTCGTTGCTCCAAAGCCACTTGAGGTGCGGGAGGCGAACATAAAACCTTCTGACTACAAAGTGTGTGTTCTGGGACTGTGGGCGGCTCAGGAGGCCGATGGGAAGAGGCTGGTGGAGCTGACGGATGCTCTGGAGAGCGGACGGTGAGTCAAGAACGTCTCGTCATCGTTTAAGTTCTCATGTTTTTTTGTTTTTCAGTCTCTTGTCAGCTTTTGTTTCTCCTCCTCAGTCTGGTTTATCGTGACATCGGCGGCTCAGATCCTGAACGGATGGCGGCGCCTCGCGTGGCTGAATACATCCAAGAGCTGTTTAAGAACAGTCCTGTGAAGGTGAGAAGGATCCTCACATCCTGTGTGAAATTCCAAATGAAACAAAGTAGAAGGTCTTGGTTTGTCTTTGTGTTTGCTCCTGCAGGTGGAAGTGATCAGCGACCTGAAGACTCTGGAGAAAGAGTATCCGTGTCTGGCTGCAGTCAACCGCTGTGCCAGCAGTAAGACACCTTTTTTCTTTTTATCACTCTACTTTTATTATTTAAATCTGTTTCCTTGCATCCAATTTATTTGCTGTTTCCTCCTTTCTTGAGGCGTTCCTCGTCATCAGGCCAGAGTCATCAAGCTGCAGTACTGTGGAGACGGGCCGGTCCAAAAGACCCTCATGTTGGTGGGAAAAGTGAGAAAGCATTTTTTTTTAAATCTGAAACGTTCATGAAGTCGAACAGTTTGTGTTTTGACTCACCTGTTTTCTGTGCGATAACTCCAGGGCATCACCTACGACACGGGGGGAGCCGACATCAAGGCGGGGGGCTTCATGGCCGGGATGCACAGGGACAAGTGTGGAGCTGCTGCCGTTGCTGGATTCTTCCAGGTGAGAATAAACCCTCACAGATTGTGATGTGGGAGTTTTTGTGTGGGTTAAATTAAGATTTGGGACACAAGAAAAGGGTAATCATGACAGTTTCTAAGAAATGGGAGCGTTACTGTGACATACGTGACATCTGCTCCGTAGTCTTTATGACTCTTGCAGTGCCTTCCTTGTGTGGTGTTCCCATACCAGACTGTGATGCCTTCAGTTAGGATGCACTTATCAGTCCCCCATAGGCCTGGGTGAGAGGGTGCTGGTCCAGACCCGCTTTCCTGAACAGCCTAATAAAATAAAGCCTTTGCTGGGCTTTTTTCACTGTGGCTGATCTGTTGAGAGACCAGCTCAGGTCGGATGTATCCTGCAGTCTCAAGAATCTATGGCTGTTAGCACTCGGTCCCTTTAATGATGAGAGGCTGTAATGGGGGAGGGTTCTTCCTGAAGTCTAATATGATTTCTTTGGTCTTGTCTGTTGAGGATGAGGTTGTTCTCATCTCCATAGCTTATATTGTTGTTTAACAGAGTCCTGTATCCTGACTCGTTCCCCTCCTGGATGAGCCCTAGTATAGTGGTGTCATCAGCATATTTAATAACGATTGTGTTGTGCTGGGTGGAGACTGTCATAAGTGTACAGGGTAAAGAGTTTAGGGCTGAGACAACACCCCTGTGGGGATACTGTGCTGACTATAGACACCCGTCCTCCCATTCTCACCAGCTGTGGTCTATCTGTCGGCAAATCCAGGATCCAGTTGCAGGCGGGAGTCAGGACACTGCGTCTGTCAGCTTCTCTATCAGTTCGCCTGAGCGGATGGTATTGAAAGCTGAACTGTAGTCAAGTCAACTTTATTTATAGAGCACATTTAAAACCGAACCTAGTATCAAAGTCCAGGAAGAGCGTTCTGGCATAAGTTCTGCTGCTTTCCAAGTGTTGCAGAGTGTAGTATAGGACTATTGCTACCACATCATCCACTGATTGATGAGCGGTAGGCAAACTGGAGGGGGTTGGCTATCCGGGACCATGGAGTTGATGTGCTTAAGAACCAGTTTTTCTAGGCACTTCATAGTGACAGATGTTGGTGCCACTGGGCTGTAGTCGTTAAACGTGGATGTGTCTGGACTTTAGGGAACTGGTATGATGATGCTGGATTTTAAAACACAGGGGACTACTGCCTGGGTTAATGACAGGGTGAAGATGTCACCATATACTCCAGCTAGTTGTTCCCCACAGGCCTTCAGAACTCTGGGAAGAACTCCAGCAGGTCCCCCAGCCTTGTGGGAGTTCAACTTCTTCAGCGCTTTCAGGATCTGTGTGGACCTGGAAGGCAGTGTCCATGTGGTCACAGGGGGCCCTTGAGAGTGTCTATGTTAAACCTGGCGTAGAACGTGTTCAGGGTGGCATCTGGGGATCTGTGGTGGTCGTGGTTCTCCTGTAGTTTGTGACAGATTGAATTCCCTGATACATGTTGTGCATGTTTTGGTTGAGGTAGTAGTCTTCAAGCGTAAATGGGTGGAAAAGAAGGAAAATGTATTTCCTGACACCGTATGCCAAGAAAAAATGCACTAGATGGACAAAAGAAGTGGTTGTCGGCGATCAACAAAAAAGGTTGTATTCTGAATATTGAGGCTGTGGCATTCTTTATTTTTGGGCATATGAAAACATGTGGTCTGTCCAGCTCACATAACTTGGCTCTTTTTTTTACCATCCACACTGTCTGATCAACCTGGGGTCGCATTTCTTCTTGCATCCACATCCTGGGAGGTTGGCTACAAGGCCCGTGAACATTTATGTTTTTAATAATGTCGGCAGCTGTGGTCAGAGAAACTTGAAGATGCTTGGAAGTAGTATTGATAGTCATTATCCTTAACGTAGAGCTGTAATCTTCTTCTGAGCTCCTCAGACAGCTCCAGTCTTTGATTTCTCTGCTTCGTGTTCAGTGTTTAACACAACCATAAACTACCCAGTGGCTGTTCGGTCCCTTGACTGAGCGTTGATGGAACGCATGAAGGCACCTGTGATACAGAGTCAAACAGTTTGAAACATGACTCTAATGCAAACATTTGGTGTTTTTAAGGGAACCAACAAATCTGTTAAAATTATGTGTGCTTATCTTTGTAAAATAATTTTGTATTGCGTTTATTTTCACCTTTTTTTTTTTATTTACTCTGTCACATACTAAAGGCAGGCAGCCCGTTCCTTGAAACAGAATCACTTTTCATAAGAAATGAAGCATTGTTTCAATGAGCTCTCAGGGTACAAACCTGTTTCTTTAAGTCGATGTGTTGTAATAAGATCAGGCAGGCTCTTCTCTTCCCGTCACGTCCTGGCACTAAGTTTTTGGGGCTTCTTCAGTTCTCTGTGACTTTTAACATTCCAGGGGTTAAAAAAGGAATTACAGTAATTTTAAAATCAATCGCAGTATTTCAGTGTTTCACTTCACAGGGTTTATACATGCACATTTTCTACTGTGTTTTTACTACTTCAAATATTATTAATATTTAAATGTGAATTTATTCCCTCAACAACCTCAGTTTTTCAAATTTAAAATCGATTCTTGTGCCTTTGCTACCAGTCGACACTCAGACCTGGATTGTAAAACCTGATTAGAGCAGCACATGTTATATAAATGTGCTTTTTCTCAGGTTTTAGCTCATCTGAAGCCTAAACATCTGAAGGTTGTTGGTGCGATGACCATGGTGAGGAACAGCGTGGGGGCAGGTCAGTGTTGGGACTCCTCCTAATTTTCCCCGATGACATTCCTCTGCGCCTCCTCTCACCGTCCTGTGCGTTTTCTCAGACTGCTACGTGGCGGACGAGCTGGTGGTTTCCCGCGCCGGTCGGAGGGTCAGAGTGGGAAACACCGACGCCGAGGGCCGAATGGTGATGGTTGATCTTCTCTGTGAGATGAAGGAGAAGGTGAGAAACGTTGACATCAGCTCGGGACTAACTGGACATCAGCAGCAGCTCTTCTCAGTGTGACGTGTGGTCTCTGCAGGCAGTACACGAGACCTCCCCTGAGCTGTTTACCATCGCGACTTTGACCGGTCACGCCATCAGAGCCATGGGACCGAACTACTCCGTGAGTCCTCCAGTAGAACGAATGAAAACTCACTGGTCAGATCCACACTGTTTATGGTCAAACCATCTTCTTATAGATCATCATGGATAATGGGCCGGCCCATCGCAGCAGGAATGCTGCTCAGTGGCAAAAAGGTGAGGCGGACTCTGAGTAAATACCAGTAAATAAAGCAACGTATACAAATATTATCTTGGTGTTACAGTAGAAATCACTTTAGTGAACATGTCGCATTAAGATATTTAGCTGAGCTTCCAGCACAAACTAATTTTGTCTTTAATTTCCTTCAGCTGGAGAGGTGTTGGGAGATTTGTTTGAGATTTCTACAATCAGGAGAGAGGATTATGAGTTTCACAAAGGAAAGTCTGAGTATGAAGACATTCTGCAGAGCAACAACCTGCCATCTTCAGCTACGCCTCGAGGACATCAGGCCCCTGCAGCTTTCCTCATCATGGCCTCAGGCCTGGACAAGGTACTCGCTCAGTTATTTAAAAAAAAAAAATCTGTTTCTGATAAATATTAACGAAGTTTAGTTATTATTCAGTTTGTTGCTGCTTAAATGTGTCCACAGCATGGTGTGGATTCAAATGCACCTCTGCCATACTCTCACATCGACATCGCTGGGTCCAGTGGTCCGTTCCCCGGTGTCCCGACAGGAGCGCCCATCCTCACCATGGCAACAAACTACATCCTTGCAGATGGTCTTTAAAGAAAAATAATAATAATAAAACCCCTAAAAGATGCACCCGTAGTCTCTCAAATTCAAATTAAATGCTCTCCACAAGTTGTAAAGTTTTAATCACCTCATCAGACCTCACGCTCCCTCTTCTGTCAGAAATCTGTTGCTCTTTTATAAGAATTTTGAACTTCTTTCTCATCTAAATCAAGTGTCTGTGATCAGCTTGCCTCAGGGTTTAAGCCAACGATGTTGTGTGTGACAGAGTTTTGACATTTATGAGACCGTCAATAAAGGTTTTTTTTTTTTTTTCAGTTAACGTGGTTTTTTTGGGGGGGGGGGTTTGGGTCACTTTCTCAAATATTACAGAATAGGACAGTTTGGATCAAGTAATTAATTAAAATAAGGTTGAGTCAGAATGGGAGGGGGGTGTTGGTGAGAGACTTATCGTATATTGGTGTAGAAGTATATGAAATTCTTTAACTATTTTTTTTTTGTTTTTGCCTCATCAAATTTCAGGTGCGATTATATATATTTTTTTTTTTTTTCACACTTTTTTTTTTTTTTTAATTTAAAAAGCGAGTTCCGTTTATTCTAGAAATATATTTTCAAGTTTTATAATATATTTTGATGGAATTTCGTGTCTGCTCAAACTGAACACCGGTATATTACTACAAAAGAATCCATTTTAAAAGTATAAATCTGTTAATTTGGCAGATAAAAGGATAATAATTTGAAGTTATTTTGTATTGTGCAAAAGACTACATGTGACAAAGTTATCAGTCAGATTCTTTGTCATTCGCACCTCATGTGGTACATGTGGTGGAGCGAAATTATGTACACAAGGTCCCAGTTACATCCAACAATAAAATGTAAAAGGACAAACGGTAATAACATCTAAGATATGAACTAAGAAAAACATCAACTAAATATACACTAAGCACTCATAACATAAAAACATTACGTTGAGCATCTGTACAAACATGAACAGGAGTCTGTGTGAGCAGATGAGCACGTGTGAACACAACTTTGAAACATCAGCAGCAACGTGATTTTTATTTTTATTTTATTTTTTTCACAGTGATTATTCTGGTTAGAGATTCACGAGTCTAACAGCCTCAGGGTAGAAGCTGTTCCTCAGTCTAGTGGTTCTACACTTAATTCATTCAACCTTTATTTAGACAGCCTGGAGGACTCATTTACAAGAGAGACCTGATTTCAACAAAGACAACAATGGACAACAGCAACAACAATAAACAATTATAAAAAGTAATACTGCAGGTTTTTTTAATGCTCCTCAACCTCCTTCCTGAGGGGAGTGGGGCAAAAAGTGTGTGTGCTGGGTGAGTGGGGTCCTTCATGATGCAGGTGGCTCTCTTGTATCTAGAGGTTTAGATATCTGTGATGGTGGGGAGACCGACTCCGACAGATTTCTGTGCAGCCTTCACCACTCTCTGCAAAGCTTTTCTTTCTGCAGCTGTGCAGCCTCCATGCCACACATTGATGCTCGAGCACAGGATGCTCTCCACTGTACACCTGTAGAAGGAGGTGAGGACTGAGCTTCCCAGACCAGCTTGCCTCAGCCGTCTGAGGAAGTAGAGTCTCTGATGAGCTTTCTTGATCAGGCTGGTGGTGGTGTTGCTCCAGCTGAGGTTGTTGTTCATGTGTACACCCAAGTACTTGTAGCTGGAGATCACTTCCACCGCAGATCCTCCTATGTTCAGGGGGGTGTAGGTGTTTTTGTTCCTTCTGAAGTCCACAATCGTCTCCTTTGTCTTCACACTGATGTGAAGGTTATTTCTCTTTGCACCAGCTCTCCAGGTTTTCCACCTCTTGCCTGTAGCTGGACTCATTGTTTGTGATGCATCCCCCATTGTATCATCTGCAAACTTTACAATGTGACAGCCTGGATGGGTAGCTGCACAATCATACGTGAGCAGAGTAAACAGGAGGGGGCTCAACACACATCCCTGAGGAGAGCCAGTGCTGAAGGTTATGGTGGAGGAGGAGAAGTTGTGGATCCTCACTGACTGGTCTGTTTGTTAAGTCTATTACCCAGTTGCAAATGGAGGGGCTTAGTCCTAGTGTGGATAGTTTGTCCATCAGGGTTTGGGGGATCATGGTGTTGAAGGCGGATGTGAAGTCCACAAACAGCATACGGACGTAAGAGTCTTTCTGCTCCTCGTGGTTGAGCGCAGTGTGGACCACAGAGGAGATGGCATCCTCTGTTGATTGGTTCTCACGGTATGCATACTGATGAGGGTCCTCGTTGATGTTATAGGTTATAATAAGTCAAAAACATTCCTTCAGTGTCGAACTTTAGTTTTATCACAGAATCAGTGTGCACACTAAAGTTGAAATATTAAAAATTAAAATTTATTAACTTGTCATTAAAAATACTTAATTAAAAACCACACGATTGGTAATAACTGGCAAACCAAATCGACAAAATCAGTGAAAACTTAAAGAGGAGAATTTGAGCCACTGCAAAACTAAATAAATCTCTGAATACTGACTTTAGTTCTTGGATTACTAAGAAAAAGTTCACACATTTGACTTTAATTTCACAATTTAGGCACGCTGCCCAACTAGTTCATCATTCAGGTTTTCTACAAAACTAAATTTGAGACTTCAAAAATAATATACCCTAAAAAGGATAAATAAAAAGGACAAACCAGCCATGATAATTTACAACCATGTTTTAAACGAGGCATTTTCCTACTTTTATCTTTTTATCTACTCGAGTCTAAACTATTGGGACTATCGACTCAAGTAACTTTTACTACTTTCGCAGTAAGATAACTTTTCTTCAGAGTCGATCCAGAGTATTAAATGGTCATTGAGGCTTTGGTTTAATTTTAATTGGAAGAATTCATTAGCTCTTCTCTGGCACATTCTTAGAAATTCACAGGTCTTTTCATTTGTTTCTGATTACTCAATGTTAAGATCGGTTTTGAAATGCACTGTGGAAAAAAAAATTAATTTCCAACCGTTTACACTGCAAACAAACAAGTGTTTTGTAATAAGTGCAAAGTTGTCATGGAAAGTGTAACAAGATTAAGGAATAAAAAGATAAATTCATTTGATGGCTTAATCCTTTCAGATTAAGTTCTTTCTTGATGAGGGCCGCCCCATGGGCCTTGAGTTTGACTTGTGTTTTAGACTAAAACATCTAACAACTAGTCTGACTCACAACTTAAATGGTGGAAACCAGATGGACATCGGCTTGCGTCGGTTTTAGAAGTTATAGACATCTATACGTTGTACGTCTTTAGTAAAGAAGACATCAAAAAGATCAGAACTAATTTTATATCATTTCCGGTCCCTCCTAAAGCCAAAGAATTTCAATTTAAAATCTGAAATAGAATTTATCCTACTAAGGAATTTCTAAGGACAAAATTTAAAATGGACACTGGGAATTGTGTTTTCTGTGAGACAAAGAGTGAGAACCAGGAACATCTTTTCTTTGATTGCATAATAGTTCAGCAATTTTGGCTTGATTTTAAAATGTGTATCCAATCCAAAGGGATTCAGCTACTTACGCTCACTTTAAAATAAATCAAATTTGGATTAATTAATAAGATTGGAAATTGTGAATATGCTATCAATAATTTGATTATATTAGCTAAACATTATGTTCATAAATGTCGTTTTTCAAATGTGAACCACTGGAAGAATGAGCTAAAGTCCTATGCAAAATCATTAAAATATGTAAAAGGGAAAAATGCTGGCAAATTTCTTAGTTTCTTGGTTAATTTCAATTTCCTCATATAATGCCTTTTTTTTCTTTTATCCTTCAATATTTCTTTTATTTCCATTATATTATGAATCACCTTTTGTAACTTTCGATTGTAAGAATTGGTACTATTTGTTTTAAATTGTTAAATAAAGTAAAAATAAAAATACGGTACGTACATACGCCGGAAGTTACGTCATGACGCAAAATAATAAAAACGGATGTTGGCGCGCGCTGACAGCTCAAACTTTCTGCGTGCTGTGTGAGAGACGTTCTCGTGGAGACATTTAGCTCCGCTGACACACAAAGGCCGACTTGTTGGAGGTTTTTATTTCTCTCCCGCCTCCAAGTACTTCCGCTCTCCGGCCCACGTTTCACAGCTCGACGCTGAAAGCGACAGAAACCTCTTGTTTTTCAGTCTACGCAGGACGCTACGCTCCACACAGCAACCATGTTTGAGGCTCGCTTGGTCCAAGGATCCATCCTGAAGAAGGTGCTGGAGGCCCTGAAGGATCTGATCACAGAAGCCTGCTGGGATGTCAGCTCCTCCGGCATCTCTCTGCAGAGCATGGACTCGTCTCACGTCTCGCTGGTCCAGCTCACCCTGCGGCACGACGGCTTCGACTCGTACCGCTGCGACAGAAACCTGGCCATGGGAGTCAACCTGAGCAGGTGAAGCTAACTAAACTAACTCATGTAGACTCTAAATGCTGATGGAGGATAGCTATCTTAACCGATTATTACTGTTAAGATGGAGGGAAGCCACTCTTCAAGAAAACTACGGAGGCCATCATGGCGGATTTGCTCCGGCATGTTTCTGTGTGTTTAAAAGTTATCTTCTGCTCCGGAGGCTGTTTTTCTACACATGTTTGAGAAACGGGCGTTAAAATGACTTTGGCGCAATTTGAAGAGCCTGGAGCCCAAAACTACGTCAGTTGAGCGCCAAATTTTATGCCGGCTAAAGTTGGCGGGAATAGTTATCAAACCCGGGAACCTTCACTTCCGTTGACGTCACTACCGTGCATGATCTTAGCCGGTCAAAGTTTAGAAAAGCTGTTTATATTTAATAAATATATATATTTAATCATGTTTTAAGTAAAATATTGTCACATGATCACGTTGTACAGTTGCTGCATATTATAAATACACTAAGTTTTTATTTTACTGGTACAAAGTGTCTATTTTACTCAGAACAATAGGTCTTTTGTGAAGTTATTTTCATCCTTATGTTTTTTCCCTTCGTTTGTTAATGTATATTTTTATAGTTTTGTTTATAGCACTCATTTAATTGTGTAATTTACATCATGCTTACTTTTTGCGCACCCTCTCTTCCAGTATGTCAAAGATCCTGAAGTGTGCGGGGAACGAGGACATCATCACCCTCAGAGCAGAAGACAATGCAGACACGCTCGCGCTCGTCTTCGAGACCATCAGTAGGTCTAAGTTCACCGTGATTTCTTTTGGTCGATGCAGTGCATCCTGGGAGCCTAACATCTTTTCTCCAATTTGCAGACCAAGAGAAAGTCTCCGATTATGAGATGAAGCTTATGGACCTAGATGTGGAACAGCTCGGTATTCCAGTGCGTGACCTGCTGCTTGTCTTTGTCCCAGTTGTCAGTTCCCGTTGCCTGCTTCTGATTTCTTTTTCCCCCATTTGTCCCGACAGGAGCAGGAGTACAGCTGTGTGGTGAAGATGCCTTCTGGAGAGTTCGCTCGCATCTGCCGTGACCTGTCTCAGATCGGTGACGCCGTCATGATCACCTGCGCCAAGGATGGAGTCAAGTTCTCTGCCACGGGAGAGCTGGGTACAGGCAACGTCAAGCTGTCCCAAACCAGCAACGTTGACAAAGAGGAGGAGGCTGTGAGTATGAAATGTCTGAACCAGTGGTTGATCAGCTGCTGCCTTTATGCTAATGTGTTGCCTTTTTTAGGTTACTATTGAGATGAACGAACCCGTCCAGCTGATCTTTGCTCTGAACTACCTGAACTTCTTCACAAAGGCCACACCGCTGTCCAAAACGGTCACCCTCAGCATGTCTGCTGATATCCCCCTCGGTAAGTAAAAGCCCCGTCTTTCTGTCTTTAGTTTGTCTCATCTGAAGCCCCGACTTGACTCATTTCTGTCTCTACAGTGGTGGAGTACAAGATAGCTGATATGGGACACGTCAAATACTACCTGGCTCCAAAGATCGACGAGGAGACTTCTTAAATTTTAACAAATGAAAAAAGTTGGGGGAGAGAAACTGATCGCTGAGGCCCATCCTTTGTGATTTAAAGAGATCTCTGGGGTTTCTTAAATGTCTTAAGAAAATGCTCACAGCTGTTAAGACGACTTTTATCAACAATCTGAAGGATCTTTGGGAGGATGCTTCAAGGGTGGTGCAGTTGTGTTCCAGACATATCCAGTGTAAAGTTTCTCTCTGTTCCTCGTTCAAGAAATCAGTTTAAGGTTGTTGTTTTTTTTTTTGTAGATAACACTCTTGTATATAAGCCCTGTGGTTTCTCTGTCAGTCTGTTCCAGATGTTTTTGTATTAAAGAAATTGGTCCAAAATTAAAGCGAGTCATTTCCAAACTCGGTTGTGACTGTGATGAATACAAAGTTGTAAAACAAAAAATTGTCAATGCTTTTTTTTAAAAAATTTATTATAACTAAAATGTGACCGGATCATGACTAAATCTTAAACAATTTCAAAGGTTTTTATATTTAGTGCAAACTACATTAAAACATCAGCAAATGCTCATTTTGATTTAATCTAACATTGTTAATTAGGGATAAAGAACCAAAACCACCTTAAATTTGCTCTGAACTAAACTGAGTAAAAAAATTTAAGTGATGCATCAAGATTGGCAAGTTTTAGATAAAACTGAGTTTAGTATGCTGTGTCTTACATGGGATATGAAAAGTTAATTCACTTTAAATAGTTGCTGTAACCTTTATACACAGTTTTATTCTAAATGTTTTCAGTTCTACGAACCACCAAAATTAGAAATTCATGACGCCATACTTTTTGTTTTAAACCAAAAAGATGAGTAGTTTTGGAAGAAGCCACTAGATGTCGCTCTTTCGTTGGTTTATTTAGTAAGGAACCTCTCATCCATTCCGAGTTAAACCATTTATTTTAGGGTTTGCATTTGAGTTCACATTATTATCTAACATATCTGAATAAACAGGCTGTTTAGTAAACATAAAAAACAAGTAGAATAAATAATTGACTACTTTTTTTTTATTGTCCTTTATTTATACAGTTTGTCTCATACCATTTTATTTATAGAGCACTTAAAACAGCTACAAGGCCAACCAAAGTGCTGTACAGACAGAAACAACACACAAAGCAATATATAAAATGAAGTAAATCAAAAATATAGACTAAAACGATGCAGAAACTTTGGGGAGTGGTGGCGCAGGGGTTAGAGAGGTGGGCTTGTGATCCGAAGATCGCCGGTTCACACCCCGGCCCCGACAACATCAAAATTGTGGGTGGGGTAGGTGAAACACCCACACTTGCCCCCACCCTCATTCGCCCCACTCTGGGCCCATGAGCAAGGCCCTTAACCCCCACCATGTGCTCCCTAAACAGGTCTCTCTTGAAAATGAGTTCTCGTGGCTCAATGAGACTAACCTGGATAAATAAAGGCTAAATGAAAAAAACCAGTGTGGAGCGGACTTTGAGTCAGAATTCATGAGAACTCATTTTCAAGAGAGACCTGTTTAGGGAGCAGATTGTGGGGGTTAAGGGCCTTGTTCAGGGACATAGAGTTGGGTGAATGAGGGTGGAGGCAGGTGGGGTTGTTTCACCTTTTTCCACCCACATTTCGACGTTGACTGTTCCGGGAGTTGAACCTGCGACTTTCCGATCACAGGCTCATCTTTTCTAACCTGCGCCACCACTCCCCTAGTTCCCTGTCTATTGTACTTTAGAAATGTAGCAGCAGGTATATTTACTTGAGAATAAAAATATGCTTGGAAAATATTGTCCATGGGTGTTTATATTATTGACACTACAAATCCAAAGTGAAGTCAGGTCCTCTGGACGGTTTCTTTTTGTTGAAACGCTTCATCTTTCATCCAAAAGACTTCATCAGACCAAGGAGCCACAACAAACTCAGTCTTAAAGGCACCTTCACATAGTGGGTCAACCAGTTTAATGGTGCTGGTTTCTGGAGTCCACCCTCTCCCCTGCTGCTTCGTCTGAGGCAGCCATGGCCAGAGTGGTTCAAAACATCAAAGTTCATGCTCAATAATCCAGATAAAAAATGTACCTGGATTATTGAGCATGAACTTTGATGTTTTGAGCCACTTTGGCCATGGCTGCCTCAGCGAAGTTGACGGGGGAGAGGGTGGACTCTAGAAAACCATCTTAGCACCATCAAACTGGTTGACCCACTATGAGAAGGTGCCTTTAAGGCTGAGTTTGTTGTGTCACCTCGGACTGATGAAGTCCTTTGGATGAAAGGTGAAACGTTTCAACAAAAAGAAACCGTCCAGAGAACCTGACTTCACTTTGTTGGATTTTTTTTACCTGGATTGTTGAGCATGAACTTTGATAAACAACGCAAAGTTCAGGTTTGCTGTCAGTCTGACTGGCAGAGAGAAAGATGTTATAAAATCTGCTCGTGTGAGATGATGCTGTCTGTTTTTCCTTAAATTGTATTATGTGTTTAAGGAGAATGTGTCCATGATGGATGGAGTGTGTCTTGATGGTATGTGTGGCCCATTTTCCACACTGTTGTGTGGGTATTGAGTTTGTGGCTGGAAGGTCAGTCTTGATGAGTTTTTCAGCTGTTTTGACGAGTGGAGAGCGTTCCTGTCTGTTTAGTGTTGCCGGACCACACAGAGATGCCAGCGTGAGGATGCTCTCCACCAGACCCCTGTAGTTCAGCCTGAGGGGTCACTGGTCCAGTCCAGACTCCTTGAGCAGTCTGATGGAGCGTTGTCTCTTTGGGGCCTTACTCACTGTGACTGCAGCGTTCACCGACCCGCTCAGATCTGAAGATATGTGAAGACCTGGGAACCTGTGGCTGTCCACCCTCTCCTCTTCGGTCCCACTGATGGTGAGGGGGTGGAGCAGCAGGGCCTTCTTGTGAAAGTTGAAGCTGAGTTCTCTTGTCTTTCCTATGCTGAAAGATGTGGTTCTCCTCTCTGTAGTCTAGTATGTCGTTGACCTGCTCCCTGTATGCTGTCTCCTATGATGAAACCCACAATTTCAGTTTATTTTTTATTTTTATTTTTTTATGAAGCTGTTGGGTTTTAAGATAGCCAACTCTCAACGTTAGTGTGAATAAGCAAAACTTAATGTCCGTTTGGCGTCTGAATTAAGATATCTTTGACAAACACTAAGATGTCCATCCATCTGCAGAAATCACCACGTTAGACCAAAGAAGCTCATTACATAAACTGGAAACTTCGATTTAGATTTATATATTTAGATATCACTTTAGGAGAGAGGATAGTCATTCAACATCTAAATTTGTTAGACTAAAAAATACAATTTTAATGTTAAACTATTTGTCACTAGAAAGGTGGACCTAATGATCTTACAGGATTAAAATGCTGGTATATTTACAGGTGAAATTATCCATCAGAATTAATTTTTTATCAGAATAAATTGCTATATTGCTTGTTGTTAGCCTCCTAAAATTGTAGCTCAGCTGTCGAACATTATCTATGCTGAAAGTTTGATAAAAACTGATTTAAAATAATGAAATATTAAGTTCATGCTCAATAATCCAGGTACAAATCCAATTATGTCCAGTCAGGTCATCTGGATGCTTTCTTTTTTCTTATTTTTTTTGCTGAGACATTTCATCCTTCATCCAAAGGACTTCGTCAGTCTGAGGACAGAGCCACAAACAAACTGGAGTCCCACAAATATCGCACTCCCATATTGGAGAAAAAACAGTTTGCTTGTGATAAGATGGTTTGATTACTGCGGGTAAGTAGTTATCATCAGCAAACTGTTTTTTCCCCCCACTATATAGTGTGGTATTTGTTGTATTCCAGTTTGTTTGTGGCTCCTCGGACTGAATAAGTCCTTTGGATGAAGGATGAAACGTCTCAGCAAAAAAAAGAAATCGTCCAGATGACCTGACTGAAAATTGTTGGATGAAATATTACATTCTGACTGGGGAGTAGTCATTTTATTGTTTATGTTTATCCCAAGATTTCTTTATCATAACATGAACATAACTTTCATAATTTTACCATTTAAGACAAGCACATAATCTAAACTAACAACAACAACAAATAAGGTAATAACTACATAT